ATATTTGATAAAATTTTTTCGTATAAATTTATTAAAAGTATTTTAATTTGTTCATTATTATTTTTAATATTTTAATTATTAAGACTTAATTTTCCCCAAATCTTAAATTTTAAAAAAATTTTAAAAAAAACCCCCTTATTAAAAGAAGTTAGAAAAGAGTAAGACAACATAAAAACAGAACCGAGTTGCATAAAAGCAGAACATAAAAGCAGAGAGACCGCGGGCCCATATAATCGATCGGTAATCTACTTTTCATGGGCCCGATCGTTGGGTTCCGTTCGATAACGCAGGGAGTCGAACGATCGCGAAGATGGTGGTCCAAAGTCCCAACTCAATCACGGATTTCGTGGGCGCAATTCGCAAAGCTATATATATACACATGATGCAAGAAGGGATGAGTAGGAAAGGAACGCAGCGATGCCAAGGTTCGTTCCAGGAGGGGAAAAACAGGGCATGGACAATCTTCAGCCGAGTAACGGCGGATCCACCGATTCCGGTACCGTAGAAATCGGTGAGGTTTCTAATTTCTTAGTGATCGACCTCTAGTTTAATTATAATCAGATAAGCTCCTCTGTTGCTTTGAATTAATTAGAATGAGTTGACTGCTCTGAGTTTACAGGGAAGAGAGAAAGAGAAGTAATGAATCAACTGAAAACAGGGGAGAGCAGTTCCAAATTGGTCGGGAAAAAGCGACAGAACGTTGAGCTTAAGGTTGTAATATATCAGATGCATTTTTCTGATCAAGTGAACATCTTAATTATCACCATATAGTGATGAATTTCTTGTCTTGTTCCTTCTCTGCAGGCCAAAAAATTTTTGAAGCAATGGAAGAAGGTTAAGAAGAGTGCGGAGGAGAAAGTGGCTTACTCGAGGACGGAAATGGAGAACATGGTTGTTGCTGCTGACGAGAAGGAAAAGGAGGTTAAACTGGAGAAGGAGAAACGGGATGGAGTTCTCGCTGCTATGCTGCTTATGTTAGGAACAGAGCACGTCCTTATGCAGGCCCTGTTTCCCCCAAGCGGGAACTGCTAAATCCAAAGTTCAATGTCTTTTATTCGGCTGCTTCCTACTTTCAGTTTAATTTATTACGCTGCTTTTGGTGTGCCCTTATCCCGCTTTTTCCTTTTAGTTATATGTTATAAGCTGTAAGGCTTTGTCTTCTTATGAGTGTTCAAGTATTTAGAATAATTTTTTTTTTCTGAATAATCTTATTTGCTTCTTAGAGTGATTGGTTTTGTGCATCTATTTATTTTGAGACATGCCTTTGATAAGGACGAATCAACTATATATATTCAGCAAGTCTAATCATTACGGTTATTCTACCCATATTGAATCTATTCGGACAGGACAGGTAAAGTCAAAAGTCAAACCACGCGCCTCCGTGTTTGGTTTTTTGCAACTTTGTAAATTGGGATATTTTAATCCATGAACTTCCAAATCTAATCATTATAACCCCTTGTCCATAATGGGAATCACAAACGTTTAAAACCTTGAAGCATTTGCCCCTTAACAAACTGTTGAAGTGCACCCAAATCACGACAAAGGCTATGTTTCAACTCACGTTAACTACGTTTTGTAGTCATTTCCCCATTATAAAAGATAAAAAAGAGTTGTAATTTTTATATTTAAACTTTCATATTCGAGTTTTAAAAATGAGATATGGACCAATGCAAAAATTTAAATATTGGAAAAAAAAAGGGCTAGCTTTAATCATGTATTATTGTTGTCCTCTTCTTGAGATGTTGAAGTTCCATCTGAGATCTACGTTTCTTAATTTCCTTGGTAATGCCATACCAAGCAGCTGCAATCTTTTTGTCTTCTTTTCAGCCCCGTTCATGATTTTGTTCTACTTTCAACTTTGTCTTCAAGGGCTAAGACATCAAATCTATTAGATTGTGTAACTTAAATTGGACAAAAAACCAAGAAGATACTTCCACTAATGCTTCTCTTATTTCACAAACAACATTACAATACTCTAATAGGCTCGATGAAATCATTGGCATATCCGCTTGGTGTCAAAACATGGTCCAGTTAGTAGGCTAAGATTTAATATGCTCCGTTGTTAGAGATCAAGATATAACCTTTATTAGGGTCTCAACCCTATAGAACAATCTCCCAGTTCACACCATATAAATTGAAAACTTCAACGTAGAAGGATGTGCACATCATGAGTGTATATATGATATTTTTTTTTTCTATCACAAATTTGAGAAGTCTGGACTTGATAATAGTTGGAATCAAAAGAAATACGTGAATGAATCAACAAGTCGAACAAACATGTGAATCCCATTTGAAGGGGTAAATCTCCTAATTGCAATCAAGGGATTCTGACCTTGTCAATTACCACAATACTAAAGTTAATCGAGATTGACTTCGCTCACAATATTTCCCTTTGGCATTCCAATCCCAACAGCATTGGAGGTATATGTTTCATTGCCTCATTTGAAACAAACGCATCCAACCCCTAATGACGATAGTTGGAAACTTCAGAGTATCATTTGGTATCACTAAGAAAAAAGGCAAAAAGAAAAGAAAAAAGAAAACACATTAAGAAACTGAAAGCTCTATGAAACAAAAGATTAATAAAATGAAAATGGGTAAAGATTTGGGTTTTAAATTCTCAATATATATATATATATTAAAAATTTGGTGTACTGGTTCTGTTACCTTTCACAGTACTTTTTATTTTTCAAAGAGAAATTTTCTCTTTTTTTTTTTTTTAAAAAAAAAAA